CCTAAAAGAGAAAGAAGTAGAAGCATGCAACGGTTAGTTTAAAAAGTAAGTGTGAGCAGCCTGGCCAGCTGCATGCTCTTAGAGATTAACTCCTATGTTAACACATCTTCAAATGTTTTTTTTTTTTTTCCTTTGGTTTCAGCTAAACATTTTTTAAGAAAAAGAAACTGAACATTCCTAGAAGAATGCTTCCCTTCCACCTTTGAGGGCTTTTGTTTTGTTTTATTGATGTGTGTGTGCATGGTATGCGTGGTGCATGTAGGTGTGTCAGCGCACCTGGGTATGTTGGCAAGCACAGGATACCAGGTGTCTTCCTTTATTGCTGTCTGCCTTACTCCTGTAAGACAGATCTCTCACCGAACCAGAAGCTAGACTGGCTGATCAGTGAGCTCTTGGGATCTACCTGTCTTTAACCCCCAATGTTAAGGTTACAGGCATGCAAACATGTCACAGACATACCTTACTTTTTACATGGGTACTAGGATTTGAACTCTGGTCCTGCACAGCTATCACTCAAACCGACTGAAGCATCTCCCTAGACTGTTGTCCACTAACTTTTCATCAGTTGAGAATGCTCAGAAGTGTTTGTATCTGTTGTTTTGTTTTGAATTATACTTATTCAAAGTATAAGCATGGCAAAGTACAACTTTAATTATAGCACTCAGGAGACAGGTAGACAGATCTCTAAGGTCAGCCCAGTTTATATAGAAAGTTCCTTTTCAGCTAGGGAGACACAGTAAGACACTGTCTCAAACAAACAAACAAACAAACAAAACCCACACACAAACGTTTCTTCATGCTGTGTGGGCAGGAGCTGAGTGTGTGGAGGTCAGAGGAACTTACAGGAGTCAGTTCTCTCCTTCCAACACCACATGGGTCCCAGAGATCAAACTGAAGTCATCAGGCTTGGTGGCAAATACCTTTACCCACTGAGCTGCCTTGACTGTCCCTATATGCTCCCTTGAGCCAAGCATGGCCAGGATGTGTCCATAGTCTTTCCTTCAAGCATGACCTTAAAACTGAGCACAGAGGAACTCTCCGCAGCCTACCCTTCAGGGCAACAAGTAGGATAACAGATGGAAGACACGAGGCCGAGCAGTAACATACATCTCCTGATGAGAATCCAGGGATTGTGCTACCCCAACAGCACCTTCCTATGTGAACATCCACCCATAGCCTTTGCTCGAGGAGGGCAACTGGTTCCACTCTTTTCCCTTCTGTTGTACCAGTAAGCACTCACCAAGACAAGAACAGTGTGTTTGGTTACAAACTGATTAGGACTCATTAATCAATTAAAGGTTTAAGAGAAACTTGGTCTCAGAGACAGAGGCAGGTGGGTCTCTATATATTCAAGGCCAGCCTGGTCTACATAGCAAGTTTCAGGCATGTCAGGGCTACACAGTAAGGTCCTGTCTCAAAAAACAAATAAAACAAGAATGGCAGCAGGGTGAAGTTAATGTAAAATTCTGAAGCGATAGAGTGGATGTGTAGCTCAATGATACAAATGTCTACAATGGGCAGAAAGGTTCAGCACTCATTTAACATGAGTTCCTGTACCACAGAGGTAAGAAAGCAAACACCATTCCCAACTGCCAGTACAGTCAGGGCTCCAGATAGTAATCTTCTAGTTGGTTCATCAGGAATACTTACCTGAGACTTTGACTGGAGTTGTGTGAGCATGGAAACAGGAAATGAGCCCTTCACTTTTGTGGCCACAGCACCTGGCAGAGCAGGTGAGGTTCTGGAGCCGGCAAGCATCGGGGGCTCCTGACACAGCAGGAAGCTTCCTGCTTCTTGGTTGTTCCCAAAGCACCATCTTGTCAGCAGCCAACTCTGGTGATGTAACACCTAGAAGTTCTGTTTTTCTTTTCTTTTTGAGATGGGGTCCCATGTAGCTGCCCTCGGATGTCCTAAGTACCGGAGGATGATTCTGAACTTCTGATGGTCCTGCCTACACATCTGAAGGGCTAGGATCACAGACATGTGTCACCATATCTAATTTCTGCAGTTTGGGGGATCTAACCCAGGGCTTCCTGCATGCTCAACTCCATCCTAGGCCCTAGGAAGAAAAAAAAATCTCAAAGCCTCCCAAGACTCTAGGAGCTCCCTATACCCTTTGATCCCCTTTTATTTAAAAAATGAGAAGAACCTTCTTACAGAAGAGCTCATCCCCTACATCCAAGAATCCCAACTCAGAAGGAGTTAGTAGTAAAAGTAATGCTGTGGCTAGTACAAGCACATTCAGCACGGGCTGGCACTGGCTGAAGCTCAGGGGCGCAGGACAAGTCCTTTTCTTCATTTCCTTTCTTTTTTGAGGCAAGGCCTTGTCATATAGCTCAAACTCATGCCTCAGCCTTCCCAATGCTAGGATGTTCAGTGGGTGCAAGTCCAAGTGTAGGTTTAAGTCCCACTACCACAAAAAAGAGGGAAGGGGTCAGCAGGGCTGAGGAGAAAGGACTCAATGAGACAACCTACCACTTCAGTCTATGGCACCAGGATTTCAGAGTGCTAGCTTCTCACTCCTTCCTTCCTCTTTTAGCAAAGCCACAAGGCAAATGCAACTCAGGCTGAGTTACCGTTACCAAGGGTAACAATGGTACAGGTTGAGAAATGACCAAACCTGGGGCCCTACAAACTGAAAAAGTCAACGACAGATGTCCTCCCAACTGAACAGGGCTCTGGGAACTGAGTCTTCCTCAACCTTTCCAAGGACTCTCCCTTAAGAATTTCCTGTGTTGGGCTAGAGAGATGGCTCAGTTAAGGGCACTTAGTGGTCTTTGAGAAGACCAAGATTTAATTCTCAGTACCCATGGTGGCTCACAACTGTCTGTAACTCCAGCCCCAGGGATTTCATGCTCTTTTCTAGCCTCCCTGGACATGAGGCACATACATGATGCATATACATATACGCAGGTAAAGCATCCATACCCATAATATAAAAATAACTAAGTCTTAAAAAAAAAAAAAAAGAAAAGAATTTTCTTCCCAGTGATAATAATCACCCTAGGGAAAACATGCAGGGAAGGCTGTCATCATCCCATCCAAACCTATAGTCCAAAGGAGCTCCCAAGAGGGGCCTTGTGTTAAGACCCGAGAGAAAGGGAAAGCACAGTGGCCAGCAGACAAATGATGAGGTTCTTTCTCCAACACTGTCTGCAGAGGATGTAGCCCATGGTAGGTCATTTGTCTAGCATCCAGACAGATCTGTTTCCAATCCCCACCATCAGAAAACCAGGAGAAACAAAACAAGCCTGCATGTAAACCATCTCAAAATCATACCTTTAACCAAATGTCCAGGTATACACCTGCAATCAACCCTTGGAAGGCTGAGGCAGGCGGACTCCCATAAGTCTAAGGTGAGCCTAAGCTCTTCAGTGAGTTCCCAGGCAGCCTGGGAGTCTGTCTTAAAGTAATAACAACAACAAAACAAAACCATACCTCTGACTAGTTGCTCATCAAAATGATTAAAGAGAAGGGAAAACAAAAAACAAAACAAGATATCTGATAAGACTTGAGGAACTAGTTGATAGACACAAAAGAAAGGAAAACATAACCCAACCAGGCAATGCCCACAGCTGTTGCCTAAACCAAGCCTTAAGCCTGAAGCCTGCAGCCAAGTAGACATCCTTCCTAAAGTCCATTCAGGTATGCTCCTGAACATTCATGGACAATAATTAACTACAGGACAGAACCCAGGCCCCTGAGAACACGGAGACAAGGAAGCCACTCTCAGAACTGCCAATCTGGGATTGCCTGATGGGCAAACAAAGGGATATTCACACAAAACAGCAGAGAGGCCACTGTTCTTGCCAAACAGTACCTTTTAAGTGATAAAAAATCAGCTATCCCATTTCTGACTATTTCTTCTTTTTCACTGTAGTTCTGGGGGTTGGTGATGGCCTTGTTCGTGGCAGGCAAGTGCTGTCGCACTGAGCTACCTCCCAGTCATCCTTCCTCTAGACTGCCTATCTTGCTGCAGTTTCTCCTCACCCAGGCACCCTGTATGTGGTGTCCGTGGCACAGAAAATGCACGGAGCCATGGTCTGACCTGATGGAAAGGACAACAGAGCGATAACACGGTCTTGGAGCTAATGGGCAGTGATGATTGGGGAGTTTCTCCTCGGAGTAGGAGGGGTGAGAGTTTTCTATCTCAGGAGAGTGTAGAAAGGAATGTAGATGATGAACAAAGTATTCCCTTTTCCTTGATAAGAGAATCCTGAATTGAGGCTGGTCACTTTTCCTGTGGATTACTCAGCTTGCAGGGCAGCTACAGTAATAGGACATGGACTAAGGCTGTCGGCTACACAGGGCATCCTGAAGTCCATTCAGGAATGTCCCTGAACATTTGCGGACAGGACAAATATAGGAGATATAAATTCAAATACTTCTGAGTTCTTTTGAAATATCCCTCGGTTCTTTTTCCTGCCCTTCCCTACTGCCATGATAGACAGGGAGAGCAGTGATTTAAGGATAAAGCCACACACTGAGGATAGCAGAGTAGAAAAGTGGGACCCCCACACCACTCCGAGATGTCCTTAGCGAAAGGGGGAGACTTTGTTAGTTTAATCCCTGCCACTGGTTTCCTGCCACATGGAGGAATAGAAGGCAAGCACATGAATAAAGTAGCTGTGACAAGGCCACAGAGGCTACTCTACTGAAGCCTTCTAGAGGGTAAGGTCCTAACACTAGGCCAGAGTCACCAGAAACACTGAGGGGAAAACGGCTTTTTCAGAATAACTATGAATATCAAAGACAGAGTCGCTGAGAGAGGAAGATAAACACCCATGAAAGAAAATCATCCTCAGGTTAACAGCAGGTTATCCTCAGGCCACAGGCAGAGCTCTTTCACCTAGCTAAGACAATGTCATGAAATTATGGGATGTGGCCCCTGAACCACTAACGAAAATACAGAACAATGGGAGTCTGGCTGGGTTTGTTTTTGTCCTGGTTCTGCTAGATTTCAATCCTTAAATATCTGTGTCAAAAAATAAAAAACTGTATTCTCGCTTTAACAGTCTCTTCCTTTATTCCAAATGTGCTTTAAAGTATTTATTGAGTGAAGAGAAAAGAAGGGATGTTGAAAGACGAAACAGATGTTGAATTTATCATTTTCTTCCAAGGTCCGGCAGACGTCAGGACTTTACGTGTCTGTTCAAAAGAAGTATGCTTATATTTTAAACATATCTTCCTTTATTCTGAATGTTCTTTTACTCACAGACACATTAACTTACCGCTTTAAAGTATGATTAGCTCACCACAGATTACAAATTATAAGCATGTTCTCTAGTAAGAACAATATAAATAATCATGAAGAGTTACAAATAATTTTGAAATAAACCATTGCAATATACCGACGGCTATCTAATTATGTGGCACTTGAAAAATGCTCACTCATGAAAATTTTGTAGAACATTTCAATTTTCTTTAATGTAAATTTCTCTACTTCTTCAACTATATAGAATACAGCATGAATTTTAATCATCTGAAGACAGATGATTTGAAATGAAAATGGACATCCATTTATAATTGTTTGTTTTCCCTAAACAAAGGAACAAAATTACATACGTGGCTCAAACTTCAGTTCTCCCATGGGCCCTGATGGAGCGATCCCTTGTTGTAATTTCTTCTGTTCCAGCTGCTGGACCGCCTGGTGAGGGGGAGAATATGAAAGTACTGCTTGATCTTTTTGGTCACATACAACCCTTAGCTAAGCCTGACAAACTGAAATGTTTCTCCTAGAACACTCTTGGATCATACTCTGAACACTGAGGAAGGGTGAGTACAGTCCGACTTCCCACAGACCCACAGCAGAAGGTAATACGTGCGAAGGGCTTTGAGGCAGAGTGCACTGTGCGTCACTGGTAATAAGAGGAAAGCCTCGTCTCCATGGGGGTCCGCAGGAGCTCTTTCTCCAGCTTGGAGTACAGCCATTATTTTCACATACACTCAGATACCCCCTGATCTGACCTCGTAGCCAGGCTCTGTGGTGCACACCTGCAACCCCAGTGCTTGGCAGGAGAGGCCAGAAGTAAAGAGTTCAAAGTTATCTTCACTATACAGAGTCTGAGGCCAGCCTGGGCCACATGAAACCCTGTCTCAAAAGCCAATTAAAACAAACAAACAAAAGATTTGGTCTGTTGTATAGGTCTGCCTATGTGGATTCCAAACACTGCCTCTTAAGGTAATGTCCTGAAACACCAACAGTCACATAAAATACCTAGTTGTTTTTACATAATGCCAACAGAACCCTAAGAGTTGCTCATGGGCTTTTAGAAAAGGCAATCTGGCCCCATCTCCAACTGCAATTAAGAGATCTGAAACAGTTGAAAAGGCCTACTAAATAATACTGGTTGTTGTTTTTCTTTGTTTTTCCTGTCTGGCCTGCTGATGGCTTTCCTGCTCGACTCTGTTCATAGGGCTGTGTGTTGTCAACCCTCTGTGTCTCATTCACTGGGAAATGGCTAATGGCCTTAAGGTTACACATGGCAGAGTCTGCAGAGTGTAAACAGGTAGGGTAGGTCTCTCACCAAGCAATAAGGAAATCCACCTAAGATTACCTACCGAGATTTTAGTCTTTTTTTTTTAATGTGTAGTGTTCTGTCCTGCCCACATTTGTGCCTGCAGGCCAGAAAAGGGCACCAGATTTCATTATAGATGGTTGTGAGCCACCCTGTGGTTGCTGGGAATTGAACTCAGGACCTTTGGAAGAACAGCCAGTGAGTGCCCTTAACCTCTGAGCCATCTCTCCAGCCCCAATTTTAGTCTTCTAATGGCTCCTTTAATGATGCTCAAATGCAGCTTAAAAAGCCACAAGCTAAGCTTCACCCATTAGTAATGGCCAACATGGGGTGAAAATAAGCCAGAGGCGGGGTATGATGGGTGACGCTGGATGCAAAATTGACAAGATCTATTGTTATCTAGAAGATAAAACACTGGGCATGTCTGTGAGGACGTCTCTAGATTGAGTTAACTGATGTGGGGAAAACTAACCTAAGTGTGGGCAACACCACTCCAAAGCCTAGGGTTCTAGACTGCACAAAAAAGGAGAAAGCGGGATGAGTGCCTGCATTAATCTGTCTTTGCTTCCTGACTGAACACGATGTGGCCAGCTGCCTCACATTGCCCCCCCCCCCCCACGCCTTCCTGCCATGATGGAGAGCACCCTCAAACTGAGCTAAAACAACCCTTCTTCCTGTAGGGTAAGTCTGCCTGGTATTTTGTCATAGTAACAGAGACAGTAACTAACCCAGACGATTTTGTCACCCTGAGTGCTGCCTAGGGGACCAAGATGAATGGTTATCTTGAAGAAAAGGCATGTGTAGGCCAGAAGTTCTCCTTAGGTAGGCTGGAAAAACTGGATGGATCCAAGCCAGAGTGATGTCAGACAACCTCTAACTTAATTATCATGCCATATGCATGCTGAAGGACACGGCTCCCAGTGCCAGGACAGGTGACAAGTGTCATAGAAGGAACCATAACAGGAACAAAAATAAGTGGTGCCAGATTTCTGGAAAATCTATGCCTATACACAGAAAGGGCAGGGATATCCTTTGTTAGTCTACATCCTCCTCATCTCTTTCGCTCTCATCTGTAATCTTCCAACAGCCAAGAATGGGGAGCTTGATTTGTGAGTGTGCCTCATTTCTCCTGCTCTTGGCCAAAGATAAAAGTCACTTTCACTGTTCAGTCGGTATGACATGTTCTTGTTGATTCCACAATTCCAAAACAGAAAATCTGTAACAAAGCTAGTTTTAAAACTCACCAAAATTTAAACTATGATAGCTTAATACTACATTAAGGTAAACATAACACAAGGTCAGCTTGGTGTTCTGTTGTACTACTAATCTCAGCATTAGGGAGGTTGAGGCAGGAGGATCATAAGCTCCAAGCCAACCCTGGCTACATGAGACATTAAATATTAAATAAACAATCAACACACAACAACACTGGGCTGGTGGTGCTCACTTTAATCCCAGCACTTAGGAGGCAGAGGCAGACAGATCTCTGTGAGTTGGAAACCAGCCTGGTCTACACAGTGAGTTCCAGGAGAGCCAAAGCTAAACAGAGAAACCCTGTTTTGAAAAACCAAACAACAAAACAAGCAAAGAAACACAGGCTTTTGGCAAAGCATCTAACATCTGGTTGGGGTACTTGCTGCACTGGAGACCAAGCCTAGGGCTTCACACATGCTAAGAACATCCCCTGCCTCTGGGCTATACCTCCAGCCCCTAACTTGGGTTGGCTCGTTTTTGTTTATTTGAGAGAGGTTTCACTCTGTGACACAAGTTGGTAGCTGGGCTCAAGCAATCCTACTGTCTCAGAAGCTTTGACTACAGATGCACATCACTGCAAGGATCCCCTGACATTCCCTGCAAGCTGCATCTCATCAGTGTCTATCTGCTACTACTCAGTACTCAGGTTCTGAGTCCCACACAGCCCATGACAGTCCCTCAAGCCACAACCCTCAGTGTCTACCTGCTCATACTCCTGCTTCTGAGCCTCAAGGTGGTCATGCTGGCGCTGCAGCTCTTCCTTCTGCTTCTGCAGTTCATCTGCCTTCTTCTTAAGCTCATCCTCTTGCATGGCGATAATATTCTCATACTCTTTTAGCTCTTCCTCGGTGAATAACTGTTGCTGATCCAATGTCTAAAGGGAAAGTAAAGTAAATAATAATGCCAGAAACACGAGGGTGCTTGTGTTCAGCTTTAAAATCCTAGAATCATCATTGATTTCTTTTTAACTATTTTAAGTATTTATTTTATTTTATGTGTAGGTGTGTATGTGTGAGAGAGATCGAGAGAGAGAGACTGGGCGTATCTGTGTGCACCGTGTGCATGCCTGGCACCTTTAGAGGCCAGAAGAGGGTGTTGGATCCTTTAGCACTGGAAGCATACGCAGTTGTAGTCACCCCGTGGGTCCTGGAAACCCAGCCAAGGTTCTCTGCAAGAGCAGCAAATGTTCTTAACCACTGAGCCACCTCTCCAGCTCCTGTTCATATTTTCTAAAACAGTTTCTTTTTTGGTTTTGGAGACAGAGGTTCACATAGTCCAGGAAGACCTTAATCTTGCTATGTATCCGAAAATGACACCTTGAACCCAGATTCTCCTGGCCTCCACCGTCTAAATGCTGAGATATAGGCACACACAACCACACTTGGGCTATGTTATTTCTTTATATTTATTTGTGTTACTGGAGATTGGACATTTGGTAGGACCTTCCTTGCACATGACCATGGAGTGTTCTACCACTGAGCAACACTCCCATCTTCCCTTTTTTCCCCACCACCACCCTCTTTTCACTTTCTATTCTGACAAGATTTTACTAACTTGGCCATGAACTCACTCTGTAGCTGAGACTAGCCCTGAACTCGGAGCAATGTTCGGGCCTCAGTCTCTGGAGGGTACCTGGGCTAACAGCTTAACATCACCTGTTGAGCTTCTTCTATACAGAAAGGTAGACAGACAGCATGGACAGATGAGGGGTGTGCAATGCATACCCCAGAGAAGATGGGAGCGTCCTACCCTCTCTCCTCCACTTTCACTCCCTTAAGACAGGGTCTTTCACTAAACTTGGAGCTAGTCTGGCAGACTGCATGTCCCAGCAGTCCTCCTAGTCTGCCCCTCACACACAGTCTCAGTGTGTGACTGTACATGGCTTGTCATGTGGATTCTACAGATTTGAACTCCAGTCTTCACACTTGCACAGCAAGCATTCTTATCCCAAGCCATCTCCCTAGGCCCCGGCTTCTTTTACAATAACAATAAAATACTGGAAGACAGGTCTAGTGGCTTATGCCTGTAATCCCAGCACTCACAGATGGAAGCAGGAAGGCTACTTCGAGTGGGAGATTGAGACACAGTCTTAGAAAACAGAAACATGGTGGTGCATGTCTGTAATCACAGCACATGTGAGATGAGACGGGTAGGGCCATCCTTGGCTACATGAGACATCGCCTCAAACAATAATTACAGAAACAGATCTATAGAGACAGCTCAGTGGGTCTTTTAAATTTATTCTCAAAATGTACCTATATTTTAAATTTTCAGTGGTATTATTTTATACTTAGCAAATGTATACTTTTTAAGAGATTTCTAATTTGAGGACTGGAAAGATGACTCAGCAGCTAAGAGTGATTAGGAGCACTGGCCACTCTTGCAAAGGACCCAGGTTTGGTTCCTAGCACTTGCAGAGCTCACAATGGTCTGAAACTCCAATTGCAGGTAACTGGACACTCCTTTTCTGCCTCCTCAGGCACCAGGCATGCCAGGGACATACATACATACATACAACCACTTACACATACATATGAAATAGAAGTAAATAATGTTTTTAAGAAAACATTTCAAATTTTACGCAGTCTGATCATAAAGAAGATAAATTGCTAAAGTTTTCCAAGGAGGCAAGAAACTATTACTTTATAATGACATTGTATATAAAACCTTAATACGGTAAAATTTACACATACAAACATAATGAAGAATGACAGTTAATGGCAGGACACAGTGGCAAAGAGCTTCTAGAAACAAGTATATCTCTAAAGTCTGTCCTGTTACCTCCCAGCTGTCTGGCTCCAAGAATTCTTTCTTCTCTGTAGCTCTCAAGAATTCTTCCAGAGTCACCAACCGGTCTTTGTTGTTATCAATCTGATTTTTAAAAAATATAAAAGCAACATAAATAAATCTTCCGTATTTCTTAGGTACAAATCTTCCACAGGATGCCATCTTGTAAACATTCAGCAATTGGGACCAGGGTAACACACACAGAAATGGAAAATAAAGAAAAGTACTCCATTTTCACGGAATCAAGAAACATACATCTTCCTCTTCTATTATAATTAAAACTTGAGGCTGCAAGTCCTCTACCTGTCCATCTACCTGATATTATATTATGTTGTTATGGCCAATGCCTTCACCAAAACAAACAATCCAGGTAGACCCAAGTGCTTAGACAAGAAAAACCCCCACTCTAGGGCAGCATGGTCAAGAACAAAGCAGGTAAGGTTAAGACACTCAGCCTACCACTCTTCACAGGCATGGGGTATGCTTTCTAAGTTGAGGTCTCAGCGACTACAGATCTGGCTGTGCAGACCAGTTTGGCCTGAACTTCTGGTGGTTCTGCAGTCTCTACCTATCAAGAGCTGAAATTAGAGGCGTGTGTGGTGGTTTGAAGAATGGGTCCCATGGGCTCATATATTTGAAAGCTTTGACATTAGGGAGTGGCACTATCTGAGAAGGATTAAGAGGTGTGGCTGTGCTGGAGTAGGTGAGGCCTTGCTGGAGGAAGTGTGTCACTGGGAAGCTCAAGCCCAGTATCTCACTCTCTGTCTACAGATCAGGATGTAGCTCTCGCTTACTTCTCCCACACCATGTCTGCAACCATGCTCCCTGTCACGATAATAATGCACTGCTAAAACTGTAAGCAAGCCCCCAAATACATGCTGTTTTTATTGCCTTGGCTGTGGTGTCCACAGTAACAGAACAAACTCTGACAGCATGGACCACCACACCTGGTTCACCTTTCTTTTTATTTTAAAGAAATATATTTAATCCACACTACAAATATATCTAAACAGATGTCAATGGCCTCTCTAAGTCCTCTTCACTGTACAGTGTGCAGTTCTTGGCAAACTGAGTTACAATGCTGAACTTTTATGACCAAATAAATTATTTGACATTGGGTCTATAAGACAGGGTCTCAGATGGCAGTCCAAGCTAACCTCCACTCTACAGGGCCCCAGTTCAGCACCGAAAGATCAAATATTCCTGTGGAAACTACTGAAACCCAACAGCTACCTGAGGCTGGAGAGAAGGCTCAGCGGTTAAGAGCATTTGCTGTGCTGGAAGAAGACAAGGTCTCATCTACAGAGCCCACCAGGTGGTTCACATCTGCCTGTACTTCTAGATCCAGTTTCTGGAGCAAATGTCACCCAAGGAGTGAATGAAAGCAGGACGGTGAACACAGCCAGGGACAGGCCCAGACACTGTCACATTCAGACTTGGGGAGGGACAGGCAGAAGATTCTGAAGGCTTAAGAAGAGGTTGTGAACTCTATCAGGGTGCCAAAAGCACTATGAGACCACACTGCACTGGCCAAGATGGCAGTGCCCTGACAGGATGGACTGCACTGGATGGCAGAAGCTACCACACGATCAGCACAGAGAAAATGAAATTGAAGGCGCAATGGAGAAAATGAAAAGAGATTACAGCTGCCCTCTAGTGGGAGAGATCCAGTACAGTACAGATGAAACCCCGGCCCGGGGGACAAAGGGAGTCTACAGCAGGAAGAATATCCTTGAAGAGAGAAACTAGCACTAATACGTGGGAGGACAGCGCCTTCAACAGGAGCAGCAGCCATGGTTACCCACGGATCAGACCCAAGGCAAAATGAATGTGAGGAGAGGCACAGTTGCTGGAAGACTAGGTTGCCCCTGTCTTTGTAGGAAACTGAAAGGAAGGGCAGAGGAAGAGAGGAGTCTTGAGGTTTTAAGGAGAGCAGAGAACAGGGAAGTTAATGGACCAGGGATTCACATGGCCACGCAGAGGGCCTCCTAGTGATCTGGGTTCACAGCCTAGATCTAGTGAGGCCAGCTAGCATGCATCTGTGTTAGTCTCTAGCACAGTCTGTCTGTGCTCCGGTATGGGGGGGTAGGGGACCGTGCAAAGCAGGGTCACACAACAGAACAAACACTGAGCTAAGGTAACTGTCCATCCATGCACATCTGTCAATTACTTAATAACACTGGTTTTGGAGACCCAGGTCATGGGAGAAAGAAAAACTCACTGAACAAGCAAAGTTGAAAAAAAAAAAAAATAGTCAGTTGCTCTAAAAGATAGAAATTAAAATTTTAGGTCTCTGTGATGGTTTCTGTCCTTATAGCAATTACTGCTCCAGCCTGTACCAGGGTCTACATCCCTGCATCCAGCTCGGCCTCTGTAGCTGAAACAGCCTGGGAGAGGTACCCAGTCTCTCCTCACTGACTATGGAAATGCTTCAGTCAGGGAAATGGGAGCAGACACTGGGTTTGGCACGGTTGGACATCAGTTTTACACATTAGTCTGTGAATGGGTCTTGAGTTTCTTATGTCTTTTATATCATCCAGTGAGAGAACACTCCTATAACCTAGGACTAAAAGACACCAAAGAGCTAAACCAACTAGACCCAAGCTTGGCTGAGCCAGCCCAAACTTCTTGTACCCTTGAAGCTTATAGAAAGCAAACAAAATGTAAACACTTGTTGTTATAATTATTAAAGTAAAAGAATTTGGGGGTCTTCTTACTGTAGGCTGAGTATCCATTGTCCAAAATGTATGGGACCAGATGTGGCTTTAAATATTGTAATTAATTAGTTTTGGATTTAACCCCAGCATCATGTGGGAGACAGCTGCAGGAGAATCTCTGTGAGTTCAAGGCCAGCCTAGTCTACAAACTGAGTTCCAGGACAGCCAGGGCTACACAAAGAACCCATGGCGAACCCTAATTCCCACCCCCCAAAATTTTTTTGAGATATTTGCACATACATAATGAGGTATCTTTGGGAAGGACCTTGTGGTGGTTTGAATAAAAATGCCCCCCCAAGCTTATAGGGAGTGGCACTATTAGGTATGCCCTTATTGAGGTAGTGTGGCTTTGCAGAAAAGTCACTAGGGTGTGGGCTTTGAGGCCTCAGATGCTCTAGCCTGGCCAGTGTGTCATTGTCACTTCCTGTTGCCTGCAGATCTAGATGTAGAATTCTCAAGTTTTCTTAACATGTCTGCCTGCGCTCTACCATGCTTCCTGCCAAGACAATAATGGACTAAACCTCTGAAACTATAAGCCAGCCCCATTTAAATGTTTACCTTTATAAGAGTTGCTGTGGTCATGGTGTCTCTTCACAGCAGTAAAAACTCTAAGACAGACTTACCCCCAAACAAAACTGATTTATGGTTCACATATACAATTTATATATACATCTGAAGGCAACTTTAAACAATTTTGTAAATAATTTGGTGCAAGAAACATAAAAATTCATGATATAGGCTTTTCTACTTCTTTCATCTTTGTCAGTGATCAAAAATTTAGAGCATTTTGGATATCTGATTAGAGCTCTTCAACTCATAAAAGCTTATACAGGTCTAAAAAATGTTAACTATACAACATCATTTTTTTTACTACCCCATATGTTTATTGCTTATATATAATAGTATCATAATCTTGCAAAAATATTTAAAGTGGTACAAACTATTGTTAAAGGAATCTAGTGCAGTATTCTAGTCACAAATACAAAATCCAATTAAATACCTATTGTGCAAGTTGGAGAGATGGCGCAGTGGTTAAAGGCACTTGCTGTTCTTCCTGAGGACTCAGGTTCATATCCCAGCACCCACATGGCCTCTCACAACCGTCCTTCATTCCAGTTCCAGGAAATAAAGCATTTTCTTCTGGCCTCCTTCGGCACCAGGCACGTCACGTGCACGTATGTACATACAAGCAAACACTCATGTGCATACAATTAAAAAAACATACAAATCTAACTGCATATTTACACTTCCATCTTATGATAAGAATTATTGCAAGAACTTGAATAATGAAAGAAACAACATCCACCCTAACCTTAAAGCATACCTCATTCATGACATGTTCTCGCATCCTAAGCCTTTCCTCTTCCATTTCTATCATATCATCCTCTGCATTTCGGGAATCATATATTTTTTCCAACTTTAAAAAAAAAAAAGAAAAGAAAAGGAAAGTGTGAAAACCAACATGAAAGAAGAGAAGGCGAATGAGAGGCACAAGGCAGACAGGACTGAGGAGGGAACAATCGTTTACCTCTTTCGTGAATAGTGCTTCTAATTCTTGTTCATCCAGGAATCCATCACTGTTGACATCTAAAGTTCAATAGTTACAAAGGCAAAAGCAGGCTTGAATCCTCAGAAAAATAAACACTTAAAATACAATTACAATGGTTTGTAAAAAGTAATACTGATGTAAAGTGACAACTGGCTGCAGGACGGGGCTACACCTTTCTCACGAAGCCTCACATCAGCCCAGGGGACAATCCTATATTTACAGCTCATAATCATGTTTTAGAAAAGTACACATTATCTACTTCTTTCCAGAGAGATAGAACATTATCTGTAAGAATAAACGTAGTTAAAAAAAAAAATTTAAGAGTGGTCTTGCTATGCAGCCCTAACTGGCCTGGTATTCACCACGTAGTCCAGGATAGCCTAACACATGCAGCAATCCTCCTGTCTCAGCTTCCCAAGTGCTGGGATTACAGGTGTCACCACCATATCATCTTAGTAAGTTTTAATTCTGTCATTAAAGCTTGTTAGATATAAGCTAACTGGCCACAGAATTATCTCCAGTCTACAGAGAAAGCTTTGAGGTAAGTCACACAAAGATTGAATAGCAAATGTGGGCAGAAAGATACAGCTATGATCTAAGACACCTACTGAGACTATTAATAATTTCACTTCAAGGAAAAACTCTAAATACAACTATTGTTAGAACTCAGCAGCAAACCGTCACAGTGATCAATTATGAGTAAATCAAATACAGACTTTTCAAACAACAGATATAAATATCAATATTTGTATCAAATCTGTTACCATGTAATTTGAAAAATGTCTTGGGGTCAAAGTCATTAGGGTCCAATCCATCAGTCTCTTCCCAAACCTCTTTTAGTTGATCTTTGCTTCCCTGTGAACCAATTTTAAGAAATTGCTCAAAACAAAATATAATCTATGTATAGAGACTCAAAAAATATGTCTGAGGAACTTTTCAGAATTAAGATTTGAGATTTACATGCTAAACTTAGGACAAATTCTGCTACAACGAATTTATTTCCTCTAGATAATGGTTTCCACGATTCACAGTCCTTACAGGGTGATTGACTTTGGGGTGGTTTTCATGCTTCCTCTTCATTTCTTCAAATTTAGCTTCTTCTTCTTTTCTCTTTTCCTCATCCAGGGTTTTTAAATATTCCCTGCGCTCGTGTTCCTTCATCATCTCATACTTCTTAAACTCTTCATGCCGAGTCCGGTCATACTGCTCCAGATCTGCGGTAGCCTGGAACACAACACAGTGTGCAAGAAAAGTGTTAGCAGTCCTTCTGTTTTCTCTCTCACACAAGCATGTGTGTGGCGTGCATGCAGGCGTGTGTGTGCATTCACATGTGTGCGGGGGCATCTGTGTGCAGGTGTGTGTGAAGGCCTGAGGTTGATATTGGGCTCTCCACCTTATTCATTGAGGCGGGATCTCTCAAGTGAGCCCAGAGCCAGCTCCTCAGAACAACAAAACAGCACTTAAAAATGTAGTGTGTCCTCTAACAGAAATGGTATAGGAGAGGAAAACAACCAAACATTGGACTATTCAAAGCAAGCAAAATATAAGCTGATTTCAAAAAGAAGGAACTTGGGCAAACATAAACATGATTCAAAATGGAAGTGGTCAACAGCTATTTCAGCGAATTCCATAACTGCCAACTAAAACATCAAGTTTGTTAATTTCTCTCATAACTAATATAATGGGTCCACAAACTCTGATCTAAAATGGCCTGGGCCAAGCAAATGCGGTAGCTCATACCAGTATTTCCAGCATGCACAAATCCCTAACATGCACGAAATTCTGAGATACACTCCTAGTACCACACACAAATATAATATATAGGAATACAATAAAATAATAATATATAATGGTAAAAATATTATTATATATAAATATATCATATATAAAATAAACATAATAGTAACAAATTTTAAGGGATTTTCCAAATTTTAGGGCACAGGGAAGAAAGCCAAATGGAGATGGAGAGACTTGAACCACACTGCCTCATGCAAAGAAATACCAGGCAAAGGAAACTGCCTCTCCTGCAGGACCTTCATAGGCAGCACTTCCTTGCAAAGTCTAAATAAAAGCTATAGATACCATCATGACTAGCTAGTTCAATCCTGGTTCAGTTTTTCAGCATTTTGGATTTGGGGACATGGATTAGTGATACATACTCATATTAGCACTCATATCTGTAGTGAGAAAGCTTAAAGCAACCTCCCTCAGAGGATACATGTTCTTCAGAGCATATGAGAGTTGTATTCCCACTTCAAAGAGTCTATCGGTCAAATTACAGATTCTCAACAGAACATAAAGACCCCACTCTGGGGGTGGGAGGGGCATAGCCTCACCGCCTTGATTAGCATATCCAAATCTTTGGATTCAAATGTGTCCGGATTCTGGTGATTCAGGTGTTCGAACTGCTTCAGAAGAAGGTGGTGATTCATGCCAGTATCTGCAACAGCGTGAGAAATCAGCAAATGTCAGCCTCAGAGGACACCGAACATTAACCTCTGGCCTCTACACACATGTACACATGAACACATACAAACCACACATTGAAGAACATACTGGCACTTAATGTAAAAACCTCAACAGGCAGATGCCGACAGTGTCCCCCCATCTGCCCGGTGCCTACCTTGAAGGGAATCCAGCTTAGCTTTGATGAGCATTCTTAGCCTTCCCACTTCTTGCCTCTTCAGTTCATCAAGTTTTGTCCTCACATGGTGACTTACTAAGTCCAGCTCTTTGCTCAGCCTCCCACTCTGTCAGCAAAATTAACAGATTAGTTCTCTCTAGTGCATTTTACTTTATACGTGATGTAACAGAGTGAAAATAGCATCACAGGAACTGAAGCAACAGCTCAGCAGTTAAGACCATAGGCTGCTCTTCCATAAGACCCAGCACCCACGTGGTGGCTCACAACCATCTGTAACTCCAGGTCCAGAGGATCCAACACCCTATCTGATGTCTACAGACATCACACCTGTGCATTCACATGATGCACAAACACACACGCAAAACACCCACACATTAAAAATTAAAACATACTTTTAAATGGTGTTATCTCAAATTAGCAATAGTTTGGCTGACACAGCTAAATTTTACATTATAAAAGCATTCCTTTCATTTCAGCTCATCTCAGTTGGGCATGATGACTCATTCCTATAATCCCACCACTTGAGAGGTGGGGGCAGGGAGATCAGAAGTTCAAGGCTACCTTTAGCTTCATAAGGAGTTCGAGGACAGCCTAGTCTCCAGTCTCCCTCAGTTCAATCCTGAGAATAGGGGCCTATTTCCAGGACCTGCACACACATTGAAACCCCATGATACATAAATCCCTTATACATGATGGCATGTCATCACATGTAACCTGTGCCAGCTGTACATTTCTCAATACACCCAGGATATTATACAGAATGGTATTCTTAGGATGGAGGCATAGAGTTGTCCCTGCCATATTAACATAAGCTAACATAAGGAGCTTACTTCCTCCTCTGCTAATCTGGAACTGACCATAGCACCAGGCCCCAGCCTGATCTCCTCAGAACATGATGCAAGCCACCCAACTTGCTGCACACAGCTCTCTGCCATGATGCCTGTGACTGCAACACCATTAGCTGACCCCGTGGCCTCTATTTCTAACTCTGAGTCCAACTCCAGAGTATTTCCTGTACATGGAGTGAGTCACAACCCTTGCGTGTCTGGCGCGTGCACCATCCAGCCCCTCCCCCTTCCCTCTACGGTTAAACTCTGGCATATTCTCTGCCGGGAAGAATGGCTTTCTGCCTTTTCCCACTGCTTCACATGGGCCATGTGTCTGTCCTCTGCAGCACAGATCCATCCATCCAATCTATTTCTCAGTGTGATTTTTCCCATCTTCTCTACAAAACTCTCACCTCATATCTCCAGTACTTAGTTCAGCATCTGCCACCTATTGCTGAACGCCACTCACCCTTATTTCCTCTATGTCTGCTTTCTGGAGCTTTTCTCTGAAGTGCTGATCTGTTTCCAGGACGTCAATCACTTGCCTGAGGTATTCGTCATAATAAAGTCCAGTATCCTTCCCGACAGAAACAAACAGTCACAATTAAGAAAGTTTGCCTTGGTCTGAACAGAAAGATGTGAATCCTGAAAAGCAATTCCTAGCAAAATGGCACCAAGACAGAATGTTCTCTGACAACTTCAACAGTCAAGAAAGAGTTCTGAATCGGGATCAATATCATGGTTTACTACAAAATAAGTGTAAAAGTCCTGTGGGGTTTAGAAAGCGGCAGAATCCTTGCCGAGAATGCACAAGTCTCTGGGTTCCAGCCCTACCACTGAAAAGCAACAACACAATGGTGTGAATGGCTTTCTGGAAAAACAAAATAAAATGAATGGTCTCTCCCCATAAGCATCACTCCCTCCCCTGAAAATAATAGTATTTCTCTTCTTGGCTGATGATTGCTACATTAAAAAATGTACTGTGATTAATTCTTCTACATACCAATTACATTAAATAGCACTGGCCAGTGTTTTACTGCCTGATTCCTGCCTAGTACCCTTTTTACTACTGCTTCAGAAATATTTGCCAAATGTGGGGTTATATGTGCCGTCAACATTAACAATCGCAATCCCTCCACTGGGCAGAATTAATACTTCCCAGTCACTCCACTGGCTAGAATTTCTCAGAATGAGCCATTTAGCAGTGACCTTTGCCCTCTGTCACCATCATAATTCATTTCATTCTTCTATTTTGCCCATGCACTTACTGGTAAGTCCATCTTTACACGTTCCGTGGGCTCAGGGTTGTGTACTTTGGTCTTGTCTACGTCGATAGGCACAGCTTCCACAGCTGTAAGCACGCACGGCACCAAGAGAAAACAGTACTGTAGCTGGATGGCCCTCCACCTCATCTGCAATGGAGATGCCGTTACAGCACAGGCCTGCAAAGGTGCTGCAAGGCTGCAGGCAAGCATTCCCAGAGCCACTTCAATTGTATGTCCATTCCCGAGAGGTTAAGTGCAAAACAAACAAAAACAAAAACAAACAAACAAACAAACAAAAATGCCACTAGGAAATGGGGTGGTAACAGATTATAACTTAAAATTTTGACATAATAAATCACCAAAGAAAATCAGAGGACAGCTGGCAAGATGGCTCAGTGGGTAAAGGCAAACACACCCATAAAATAAATAAAAGAAAAGACTACTTTAAAAAAAAATGAAAATCAAAGAAGAGCTTGGTGAACTGGCATGGGCCTGTCATCCTAGTACTCTGGTGGCTGAGCCAAGAGGGTTGTAAGTCCTAGGTCAGCATGGGCTACTTGGTGAGACCCTGCTTCAAAACAGAGCCTGGCATGGTAGTGCACAGCCATAGTGGAAAACTTGGAAGACTAGGTCAGGAAAACTACTGCTGTGGTCTGAGACTGGCCTGCACTGCACAGTAAGTTTCAGGCCAGCCAGGGTACTATAGCAACAGCCTGTCTCAAAAAAACAAAAAGAAAGGAGGAAAGGGGAAGAGGCAGGAAGAAAATTTTGAAAGAAATGTTTTTCAGCCAAACTTAAAAAGACAGGAAACAAAATTTTTAACTTCTGAACTGTTTATATAAGAAAACATTTGGAAAAAAAAGAAAAGAAAAGAAAAGAAAAGAAAACATTTGAAAGTTAGATGGGGTGGCTCAACCATGGTATCCCAAGCACTTGGGAGGCTGAGACAGGAGGATTGTCATGAGTTCAAGGCCAGCCTGAGCTACAGAGTTAAGTTCCAGGCCACTCTGGGTGCAGATACTCTATGTCAAAAACAAACAAAAGAAAGTAAACAATGAGAATATAAAGGGTATGAGAAAAAAAGGGGCACGTGAGAGAGTAAGAGTGAGAGGGACAGGGAGGGAGAAAAGACAGAGATATGAGAAGGTGAAAGACAGAAGGGGCGGGGAGATAAAACACTGCTTGCTTAAGGTCATGTGGGAAATCTACATTTAAACACATGTGCTTACACACCTGAGACATAAAATCAGAAAGGGAACTACTTGGGAGGGGAGAGGGGGGAGAAGGACGGCCAGTGAGAGGAAGACTGGTGGGACAGGACAGCGAGGAGTAAACAGGAACAAAACAACAATGCACATGCGTATGAAAATGTAAGTAAACCCTTTGTTTTGTACATTATACAATTTTAATTGAAAAAAAGAAAGCAGAAGGGGCAAAAAAAATTAATTACAAAATGCTTGCTACAAGGAGTTAGAGAGCTCAGTACAAGGCTCAGTGGTTAAGAGCACATGCTGCTGCTCTTCCAGAGGTCAGTCCCAGCAGCCACATCTGCTCACAGCTCACAGCTGTATGCAACGCCAGTTCCAGGACCTTCTGGCTCTCACAGGCACCAGGCATGCATGCGGTACACAGATACACACCTACAAAACTCCCATACACATAAAACTTAACATAGGTAAATCTTAAACAAATCAAACAAGAGGGTTGCAGAGACAGTCAAGAGTTGAGAGCACTTGCTACTATTCCGACATTTGTCAGCTCACAGCCAGCTGCAGCGCCAGCTCCAGGGGATTTGCTGCCCTCTTTTGGCCACTGTGGGCACTGCGTGCAAATGTACAGACAAGCACCAATAAATGAAAAATAATAGTATTAAAAACGACACAGCCGGGATACAAATTGAGTAACTTGTAATAAATGATAATAAAAAAGAAAAAAATGAACAAACAACAATGAAAACATAGTGAAAAACAACCAGGCTAGTGAGATGGCTCAGTGGGCAAAGGCATTTCCTAACAAGGCTGACAAACTGAGTTTGGTCCCTGGGACCCATATGATGGCAGGAGAGACCTAAACACTGAAAGCTGCCCTCTGGCCTCCACCGGTATCCCATGACATATATGCACACTCAGAGAATTAATGAATGAATGAATTAATGTAAAAAACAAAAGGAGCAGCTGGGTGGTAGTGGCACACACCTTTAATCCCAGCACTTGGGAGGCAGAAGCAGGTGGATCTCTCTAAGTTCAAGGCCAGCCTGGTCTACACAGAGAGTTCATAGACATCCAGGGCTACATAGAGAAACCCTGTCTCAGAAAAAAGAAACAGTAAACAAACAAACAACAGCAAAAAGCCAATAGTTGCTTTCAAATAAATAGGCCAATAAAATTGCAGACAGGCCAGGTGTAATGGCATAGCCCTGTAATCAAAGAACTCAAGAAACAGAGACAGGAGGATTGCAGCCTAGTCTACATTGCAAGTTCAGGCCAGTCAGGGCGCTGTAGAAAAGATTGTGTTTCAAAACACAATAACAAAAAAAAAGTATGTCTATCAGGTAGGAGTTGGAGAGGTTTCTGTTGCGGAGCGATTATTATGTTTACCACTCATAAGTAGGATGTCGTGGGGTTAAAACAAAAGAGCAAACGGATTCAAATGTTTTGAATACAATAGTTGAAGCTGTATTACCTTTCTGTAACAATCCTTGGCCCTAGGTCTCCTGCAAGGATCAGAAGGGATTAAGATCTGACACTATGTGCTTTTACACATACAGGCTTATATTAGGGATCAGATCAAGAACAATGCCAAGAACATGCCCAGAACAGAGGAGGGCATACAGGAAACGGTACTCAGAAAGCCATAGGACAGGTCGAGACCTGGAATGATTGACACCAAAGTGGCAGGCTACCTGCGAGTGGCTTTTTTTGCAGAAGCGCAAATTCCCAAGCCCTATGTCGGCCTTGTAAACCAGAGACATGGGAGAGCCCCACAAACTCTCACTGAGTCCTGCAGCTAATTCTGAAGCAACAGAAACCACTGCCCTTCAACACGGCGTCTGTCTGCTCTACTGTGCAGAACGCTTATCTCCAAGGGAGTTTGGGGGCTGAGGGTGGAGCTGAGCAGTAGAGCACTTGCCAAATATGCATGGGGCCCTGGATTCCAACCCTGGAAGTAGAGTAGGGGGCAGTGTGTCCATTTTTGTAGTGGTAGAGCACACACGTGTACGTGCTTGTGTGCATGGTGGCCAGAGACTTCAGAAGCTGTCCACCTTGTTTTCTGAGACGAGGTTTCTCCTTAGGGACTGGAACTTGCTGGGGGACCAAGCTGGCTGGCTAGGGAGCTACTACTTGTCTTTGCTGCCCTGTGCTGTGATTACAAGCATTACCATGAAGCCTGGCTGGTATTTTACATGGGGTTTGGGACTCAAACTCAAATCCTCATTTGTACACAGCAAACACAACCAAGCTATCTCCCCATGGTCCCTTAGGTCTATGCTCTAATACCAGCTCCAACTAGCCACAGCTATAATAGACCTCACTATTCTTCCTTTATTGAGACAAGGGGTCATGTAGGCCAAGCTGGTCTCAAACTCTCTGTGTAGCCAAGGATGAACTTGAACTCTCAGGCTTCCTGCTTTTTACAGGCCTTGACCATCATATCTAGCTCAACCACAGTTTTCTTTTTTTTTAAGATTTTTATGTATTTATTACGTATACAGTGTTCTGCCTGCATGTACGCCTGCACGCCAGAAGAGGGCACCAGATCTCATTAGAGATGGTTGTGAGCCACCATATGGTTGCTGGGAATTGAAGTCAGGACCTTTGGAAAAACAGATAGTGCTCTTAACCTCTGAGCCATCTCTCCAGCCTGGCATGAGTATTCTTTAATTTGTAATCCCACCATGAAATTAGTGCATAAAGTAGAGGTAATTTCTGGCACCTAATCAGAAATAGCAATAAAACTGCTTGTGCTCAAACCAACTGTATAAAATTACTAGGTTAAACAATTTATAAATACATTTAAATTAAATCTCTAGTTGAAGACTGGGCGGTGGTATACAGTCCCTTTAATCCCAGCAGAGGCAATCAGATCTCTGAGTTCGAGGCCAGCCTGATCTACATAGTGAATTCTAGGACAGCTGGAGAAACCCTGTCTTGAAAAACCAAAATAAATAAATAATGAAAAATTAAAAAAAAAAAAATTCCTATAGTTGAATAGGGCTTACTGCTAAAGAGGCCAGCCCCAGTTCTCAGAAATAAAAGCCAACAGCAAGAACAGCACAGATCAAACTACCAAAGGATGTTCATATCTAGAAACAACTGAAAAAAGAGATAAAGCCAAGAAGGTAGCACACTCCAGGAACACAAGGCTCTGCCCTACCCCCCCCCCCCCGATCCACTTCGGGAAGCAGGAACAATGCTCAGGCAGAAACACTGATGAGTCTGCGTTCATTCATTCTGGGTTTAGTTTTGGTTTTTACATAAATCAGACAAGTAATTCATCATTATATGTCATTCAAAACCAAAGGCTATTTTAGTTTTTAGTAATTTTAAAAATTCAAAGACTGACATTTTAAGGGGAAATCCGTGGTTTTAAATCAAATACAATAGTAAACATAATCAAGAGCAAAAAATTAAAAAAAAGAACACATATGATTCAATTCATGTAAAATGCCCCAATATGCATATCCCTAGGGCAGTACATTTTTACCACTCACAGCTGATGGCCTTGGGAGGAAAAAGCAGAAATAAAGGTTCCTGGGGAGAGGATCTGTTGGGTGGGGAAGAAAATTATTAAATCAGAAAAAGGGGACAGTGGCACAACATTAAATCAAGATGGACTGTAGCTCAGTCTGGCAACACATGCTGTAATTCCAACTTCTGGAGGCTAAAGCAAAAAGACCGTGAGCTTGAGGCCAGCCGGGACTACAAGTGAACTCCAGATAGGCTGGGAGTACTGGACTACATACTGAGGGGGGGGGGGGTATCTAAATTGCATGATATAAAACCATCTTTCAATTTCACGAAAAGGGATACAGCAAGAAGTCAAGCTAAATATTTTTAATGTGACTAAAAAGCTATAATTTATAACCCATGCGTGGCATCTATACTAGCCATGCTTTATACTTTTCCATAATCTAAATTTTATATTCTTAACACTTTCATCTTTTGTTCTATAACTATCAGAAAAAACATGATCTGCTCTCTTTATAATTTTCTGATAATTCTACCAAACTTTATTTAACTATGAGTTTACATAAATTTAAGATTTCCTAGCCTCTGCTGGACTTTTACTATTTGAGTGACTTTGTGTCTCAACCCTGCTAAGGCAATTTTGTCTGGAACCAGCATTGCTAAATCAGTCGTGTTCCTATTAGTGTGTAATTACATAAGTGTGTACATGTACATACAAATACACACTATTTTGTATGGCTGACGACCTCTACACTCTTTCCTTTTGTTTTTATTCATATTTATTTGTTGTATGCGTGCAGGCATTATGCGCACGTGTGCTGAACTGGATGTGTGAAGGTCACAGGACAACTTTTGGTTCTCTCCTTCCACTGCGTAAGCACAACCTCAGCCTTCTTTCCTTTTTACACTTCTTCTAGATGTAGTTATTTTATTACGTGTGAGTGTTTTGCTCACATGTGTATCTATGAACTGCATCCATGCAGTAGCTGAGGAGCTCAGAAGAGGGGTTGGATCCCCTGGCACTGTAGTTAGAATTGTGAGCTGCCGTGTAGGTTCTGGGAATCAAACCTGGGTCCTCTGCAAGACTGACAAGTGTTCTTAACCACGAAGCCATCTCTCTAGCCCCATCTACCTTCTAATTCAAGTATTTCCTGTTTAAATTTACTCAGATTGCTGATTCTGTATTTAATCAACTTGATACATAATTCTTTAGCTAAATTTCTTAAAAGTCAGGGATTGTCTTTCAATTAATTGAAAAAAAAATGATTGGCGAGGAGGTAACAGCAACGCAGGCTTTCCTACCCAAATGTCATAAACTTTATTGCCATTTTTCTGACTGTCACAGCCTCAGGCTTTCAACATTATCACTGTGTCTTCCTGGTCATTTTATCTTCAAAAGGATTAAACTAAGTCAAAACCCAGTGGGGTAAGCCTGTGACCACAGCACTCAGAAGTTGGCTGAGGTAGAAGAACTGCAGAAAACATGAGGTCACCCTAGGCTACAAAGGGCTCAGACTCAGCTCAATGATGTGTGCTTGCCTAGCATGCACAGAGCACTAAACTCAATCTCCAGAGCTACAAGGGAAAAAGAGTTATAGTCTGGCACTGAAGTGCTCTTCTGTAAGCAGAGAAAATAAAACAGCTGGCACAAGCCAGCAACACTGCTGTTAGAGGAACAGCCTGACCTTTTCAGTTAGGGGCACTAACTGCTTTACAGACTTTGGACAGGAAGCTACTACACAAAGCCACGTTCCTCTCTGTTCTGAGAGAGGACAGACTTCCCTGTGAGCACCACCGAGGACAGCAGAGGCTGACCACAGGTCCAACGTGTTTTCCCAGGTCCTGGGCTGATACGACTCTGGCAAATGTCAAACTGTCAGTAGTGTCTTCCTAACACTGAGCAAACGCTGCAGGACTTACAGTAACATGTAACATAAGAAAATAAGGACTGAGGATATAACTCAGAGGCTTCTCTAGCATGGGTCAGGTGAAGGGCTTGATCTCAGCACCACAAGGTGAGGCTAGCAGGCATTTTAGTCAATGGGAAAGGCAAACTTCAGACTCTCACATGCCTCAAAACGATACAGTAACACTAACGGTGGAAAAGAGACTGACAGAAGAGAAAAGCTTTTCCGATTCTGATGAGGGTCTTGTTATGTAGCCCAGGTTGTCATTACACTCACAGCAATTGCCCTGCCTCAGCCTCCTGAACATTGAGATTACAGGAATACATGAGTGTTCCTAGTGAGAACAGGTTTTTGCTTTTGAAATGTCTGTCTGTTTGTTTGTTTGTTTGTTTGTTTGTTTTGAGGTAAGCTGGCCTACGTAGCCAAGGATGGCCTTAAACTTCTGATCCTCCCACCTCCCCGCCCTGGAGCGCTGAGATTATAGGTGTACATGGTCATGCAGTGTTGAAGACTGAACCCGGGGCTTTGTGCATGCCAGGCAAGCACTCTGCAGACTGAGCCACTTCCCCAGCCCCAGTCCTTTGGTTTCTGCAGACTTGTTTATTGGAGCGCTCATTTCATCAGCCCACAGCAAGAGACTTCAGTGATGACTGTGAAGATATCCACAATTCAAGACTCTTTGAGAACACTGAATCCAGTGGGTCCACAAGTTGGGACTGAACCTGTCTATGAATGGGTTCTGACAGCACTCCACTGAAGGACTCTCAGAAAAATAGCTGGCCAAAGCTCTGACACATGACATTTGCAACTACAAGACGGCTTCCCAAAGACGCTACAGCATGCTCTTGTCAGGGTGGGTGATGACACAGCTAAAGGCAGAGTGGTTAAATCTGGCTTGAATGTTGAAGAGCCTGGCCTAACCTGCCGGGCAAATTCACTTAGCTCCAGAAGCATTTTGATATGATGTGTCTGAGACATTAAGGAACAGGAAGCCTGGGAAAGAACCCAGACTGGGGGTGCTCCTCCACAGCTGACAGCTGGCAGGGTTTTTGGTTAACAAACCATTAAAGAGTTTGGAAAAAAAAAAAAAAAACAAGAACCTGAAAGCCCGCTGCCAGCTTACGGTAACCAAGCACCAACTTGTGAAGTTCAAGTTACAGGATTAGAAGAAACTCCCAGGCAATGGGGCCTGGGAAGAAAACACAGAAGTGCTGGACAGATGACGCAGCAGTTCATAGCACTGGCTGCTCTTCCAGAGGGCCAAGATTCAATTCCAAGCGCCCAAACAGTGGCTTACAACTGTCTCTAACTCCAGTTCCAGGGGATCTGACACTCTCTTCTGGCCTCCTTGGGCACTGCATTCATGTGATACACAGACAGGCAGACTAAACACTCATACACAAAATAAAAATAAATAAATCTTTTCACAAATGCCGTGCAAAAGCTGTATGTCTAAGTTAATCTTTAAAAGCTCTTTCAGTAAACAAAATGGAACTGTGCATGACACAGCATGTCACGGTTGCCTCAGTTTCCACTGGCAGCATTTTTCCCCTATGTTGTACAGTCGTGTGTCCTACCAGTGAAACACAGGAATCCTAGGTTTCTGTGTTTCTACCATCTTCTTTAGGAATTTCTATTTCCCTTGCTTTTTAATATTCACAACCTCTCCTTTCTTATTCAATGTGGAGACCAGAGATAACCTGCAGAAGTCAGGGTTCTCCTTCCACCACCTGGATCGATGATCCATTTACAGACTTCCATCAACTGGAAAATGTATGGATGTTGTCGCACAGGAGAGCTGAGGAAGAACAGCCAATAGAAAGAAGAGGTGTAACCTAGTCTCCTTTCCTGACCAGGTCAGTAGGAATGGATGTCTTTCCTTTACCGACCTCTTCTTCTATCTCCTCTCAAGGACCACACAGACCTTGAGAGGAGATAGTTCGCCAACTACTGAGCAGCAGATGAAGCCAAACATTACGGGCTGAGAGTTGACTCTCTAAGGGCAGCATAATAGGAAATCCATTTAACTCACTGTGCAGCTTAAACTGGCCTCAAATGCAAATCACTATGTAGCCCAGGCTAGACTCAAATGCAAAGCAGTAGTGCCTCTGCCTTCCCAATGCTGTGGTCACAGGCTGAAGACACCAAGTCTAGAATGAAGAGAATATTTGTTATTGTTGTTTTTGTTTGAAGCATGTAAAGCAGATTGCCCTGAACTTAGTAGACAGCCAAGGACGAATTTAAAATCCTGATCTTCCTGTCTCCATCTCCTAGGTGTCAGAATTACAGGCTTGCATCTCCACACCCAGTTTACAAGGTGCTGTCAACTGAACCCATGGCTTGGTGCATGCCAGGCAAACATTTGACAAATGAATACATCCCCAGCTCCATGCCAAGAAAATGTGAAAAGATAGGATCCAGAAGGAAACAGATCCTTTCCCTATGTATCCAGTAAATCCAAAACAAGCCTCCCAAGTTCCAAGTCCGGAAAAACTCAAAGGTGTGACTCACGTGTAGCGCCAGATTTTTTCGCTGTGAAATCACTCAAGTCATCAAGTGGTTATCCAGTTAGGAGTATAAACTGTGTAATTGTGTATGTGATGGAAGGAGAAAAAGAGGGAGAGAAAGAGAGAGTGTGAGTATGTGTGTGTGTGTGTGTGAGTGTGTGTCTGTGTGTGTGTGTGTGTCCTGTGGTGCTGAATGTTCACATGCAGTGCAGAGGGACTGGTGCTACATAAGGAATTGTGCCCAGCTTTCTACCTGAGTTCTGGGGATTTGAACTCAGATCCTCATGCTTGCACACCAACCCTTCTCACCCACTGAGTCATCTTCCTAGTCCTGTCCCTTTTTTCTTTCTTTTAATTTTTTTCCTCTCTTAATCCTCCCTTTGCTCTTCTGTTTATTTTAAGGCTGAGTATGTTTTCTTTGAACAAATATTTATGTTAGGAACCCACATCAGATGTTATGCTGGAAAACAAAGGTAAGTGGAATAGATGCTTCCTGGATGTGGAAGCCTTTAACCTAGTGAGAGAGGTGGGTTATTTAATAAGCAATTTTGAGGGAAAAGTTACTTTAAAAAACAATACACAGAACAGCCATTTTTCTCTTAAAAAAAAAGTTTGATAAATTTGATTTATTTATTCATTTGTTTTGCCTGCATGTATATCTACATATCACATGTATTTAGTGCACGCAGAGGCTCGAGGAGGATGTCAGATCCCCTGGGGCTGGAGTTATAGATAGCTGTGAGACCACATGTGAGTGGTGGGACTCAAACTCACGTCCACTGGAAGAGTAGCCAGTGCTCTTAACTGTTGAGCCACCTCTCCAGCCCTGAAGAAAAACTTTTTTTTAACTAAGCTGAGCCCACGAGGCTAAGTCATGAGGATGGCAGCAAATCTGAGGCTAGCCTGGACTACAGAGTGAGACCGTCTCAAACCACAAAAGCAAAACAAAAGCTAAGAAATATTAAAGTGGTATTCAGGACTAGACATGTTTAGTCTAATGACTCAAATGTCAAATGATTTTTCAAACCCCGTGAGAGGTTCAAAAGATAGTGCAGTTGGAAGAGAGACTGCTTAGGCCGCTAAAGGCCCAGGACTGCACAAAACATGTTGGCTCCTGGCAGTAATCCCAGCGCTGGAAAGGCAGAAGGCAGGGATCAGAAGTTCAAGGTCATCTTCAGTTCCACAGTGAGTTCAAGGCCAATAGGAATTTGCACACCACCATGCCTGGCCGTGTCCAAGTAGTAAGAGGAAAAGTACAAGAGCTTGTGAAAATGCAAACACACTTCATAGAAATAAAATCTCGGGGCTGGAGACGTGACTCAGAGGTTAAGAGCACTTTCCAAAGGTCCTGAGTTCAACTCCCAGCAACCACGTGGTGGCTCAGAACCATCTATAATGAGATCTGTTGCCCTCCTCTGGCATGTAGGCACACATACAGGCAGAGTGCTGTATAAATGATATAAATAAATAAATCTAAAAAAAAAAGTTCTAACTTGAGAAGGTAATCAATTAAAAAAAAAAACAAAATATTAATCTTTCTTTATCTCCTTCCTATAAACACTGAACAACTGACTGAATCTTTGAATTCTTATTCACTTAAAATTCAATTCCCTGAATTGCTGTTTCATTTTCTCAAGGTTGTTCATTTACAGCAAAATAATGTCAATTGAATCTTGTATCCGAGGCCAGCCTTTACTCCTGACCTCCAGCCTCTACCATCCTCTGAAGTTCCAGAATTATAGCTGTGTCCCACCATACCCGACTATCTGAACCATTTTAAGTGTCAACATACGATATGTCTGTAAACATGTACAGGGAAAATCTGGAAAGAAATATTGGCATGCCTTGAAGCCGGGGTATACATAGCTCTGTATAGAGGATTTGAGGAGCATGTGTGAGGACCTGGTTTCAACTAATACTGTCCCCCAAAATGGTATACTTAAATAACTTATGCAAAGGCCAGCAGGAAGAGAACATTACAGTACAGGTAAGAGCTAAGTGACTTTAAACAATCAACTCCTAGAAAGGCAGGAAAACGGGTGTCTTGTGTGACCATCCCGAATGCAAAATATACTAAGAGGGGTCACATTTATCAACACAGTCACTTCTGATGACTGGTTAGGCAACAATCTTGGGGAAAGATCTCTATTCATTCTAGTGTCTTGCTTACCTAACTACTTGCAGTTTGATAACTACACAATCACCAGTTGCACAACAAACACACATTGAACATTCATGGGTGGTTGTTTTTAAATAACCAGGGCAAACCTCCAAACAAGAGAGACGTGCCTCTATAGTGAATCATGGAATAAAAGAAAAGCAGAGCCAAGCATGAGCGCAGACTAGTTCAACAGCCTGGCTATATTTTGAGTTCTAGACCAGCCAGGACTATATAGCAAGATCCTTTCTCAATAGGAGAAGAAGAGGGAGAGAGGGTGCGAGGGTGGAGTTAGGAGAGGGTGGGGAGGGGGCTACAGCTGGGATACAAAATGAGTAAACTGTAATTAATAAAATTAAAAATAAAAATAAAAAACAAACAAACAAACAAAAACCACAAACAAATGAACTAAAAGAAACAAACACCCAAAAATTAAAAAATAAAAGAAATGCAACTTTGCAATTACTGACTATTTCTTTCTATAGTCAGTAGTCCAACCGGAAGGTCTGCTCTAATCACTGAGGCTTCACTGCCAAGGACTTCAAGCTCAGAAATGAGAAAAGGAAAGCTCCCTCCGTGGCAGAGACTTCTGCTTCTCCACTGATAACCAAACCATTCCTTCCTTCCCAATAGCATAAGTCCCATTTTACTGAGTGTAACCATACATCCAGTTATGTGTCTGGGAAGCCTGGGCTTTGGTTCAGGGAGTCTCCAGAGAGACAGAATGCATTCTTCTTTGTCTTTGCCTTGCTGCCTGGAACCCTGCTGTGACCGTAGAGGTCTGGCAGCCATCTTTGATTTTGAGAACGAAGGGAATTTTAGGAGAGAAAAGACAAAGAACTAAAAGATTGGGTCTCATACAACTTTATAACGTCACTCTGCCTGTTCTAAACTATGACTTCAAGAGTTCTTTTAGGGGATGGAGAGGCGATTCAGCCTTAAGAGCACTGGCTGCTCTTCCAGAGAACCCAAGTTCAGTTTCCAGCATCCATGTGGCTGTTCACAACCGCCTGTCACTCTACTTCCAAACTATCTGACACCCTCTTGTGGCCTCGGAGGGCACCAGGCGCACACACATGGAGCAAAGGCATGAATGCAATCAAACACATAAAATAAAATAAAACTTATATTTAAAGAAGAGAATTATTTTAGGAACTGGGGAGATGGCTCAGTGCTTAAGAGCACATACTGCTCTTGACCCAAATTCTATTCTCAACAACCATGTTCACAATCACTTCCAATTCCAGCTCCATGAGGACCAGATCCTAACTGACACACACTAAATAAAACCTTTTTAAAAGAAGAATCAATCACTTTAATATGGGTTTAATGCTTAATGCTTATAATATCATCACATAGGAGGCTGTAGCAGGATAATTGCTGTCACCTCAAGACCAGCCTGGGACACTCATTGAGCTCTAGAACAGGTTGGGCCACATAGTGGGACTCTGTCTTTACTTCTCTGCCAATAAAGAGAATTATTTGAAATGAGAAAACAAATGTTGTGCGTTTAAGCCATTACTGTGTGTGTCTTATGGTCACTCCCTGTGTTTTATTGCTGTTTTGGCAGACACAGTTGGTTTTGTTTGTCACAAACAAGTTCTTCACTGAACACTTACCTTCAGACAGGTTAAAGCTTTATCTTATCTTATCTTTTTTTTTTTTTCTTTTTTTTTTTTCCCCACAGATGAGGCCCCTGAGATCCCAAGTGGTAAGATGATCTACACAATATTAAGTTTGTGGAGAACAGGTCCTGGCTCCTGGTCCAATTTTTTTTTCCTTTGAAAACTGGTCCTTGGGTTCTAAATAAAAAAGAGAAAAATTAAATATAACAATGAATTATAAATGTATCCTTTTTTAGTGTGAATAGTACACAAGAATGTGTGCCATGATATACATAGTATAAAATTAGTATAAAAAAGTATTAAATTAGCAGGACTTGGTGGCCCATGCCTTTAATCCTAGCACTGGGGGCAGAGGTTGGATGATCTCTTTGAGTGCAAGGCCAGCCTGGTCTACACACTGAGTTCCAGGATAGCCAGGGCTATCCTTGTCTCAACAAACAAACAAAAAAGGTATCAAATTTTAATGACTTGATAGGATACAATAAATAAACAGTCAAGGGCCAGAACAAACAGATTGTGTTTACAATGCCTTAATTGTACTACCCTAGAAAGAATTCAAGGTAAGAGCATTTGTTTTTCTCAGCGAAGACATAAACTTTAAGACATACAGAATGGCTCCCACAGGCTCATACATGCTTATGAGTGGCACAATTTGAAAGGATTAGGAGGTGTGGCCTTGTTGGAGGAAGTGTGTCACTAGGGGTGAGTTTTGAGGTTTCAAAAGCCTAAGCCAGGCCCTGTGGCAATCTCTTGCTGCTGCCTGTGGATCCAAATGTAGACCTCTTAGCTCCTTCTCCAGCACCATGTCTGAATGTGTGCTGCCATGTTCCCCACAATGATGAGACCCAACTAAACCTCTGAAACTGTAAGCCAGCCAAATTAAATGTTTTCCTTTATAAGAGCTGCTATGGTCATGATTCTTTTCACAGCAATAAACAGTGACTAAGACAGAGGGTAACTTCTTCTTTAAAAAAAAAATAATAATTTTATGTGTATATGTGAGTGCCTGAATGTAAGTATGCGTGTGTACCACCTGCATGCCTCATGTTCCTGGAGGCTAGAATTGCAGTTGTAGCCACCATGAGGGTATAGGGAACCAAACCCAAGTCCCCTGCAAAAGCAATGGGTACTCTTAACTGAGAAGGAGCTTTCAGCCCTGAGGGTAACTTGTTTGGTTAAGTCCTTATCTGGGAATCCAAGCATGGTGCTACACACCTGTTGATCCAGCATGAGGGAGAAAACAGAAGGATAAAGGCCATCTTTGGCTACATAGCAAGTCTGAGGTCAGCTTGGACAAAAGCAGACTGTGTCAAAAAAAAAAAAAAAAAAAAAGGCTGGGCCTGATCATGCACACCTGCAATCCCAGAACTCTGGGAGGCAGAGGTTGGCGTATCTCTTGAGTTCGAGGCCAGCCTGGTCTATAAAGTGAATCTAGAACAGCGAAGGCTACACAGAGAAACCCTGTCTCAAAAAAATTAAAAATAAAATAAAATAAAATAAAGAACAGGAAAGAAAGAAAATTAAAAAATCAACAAATTCTAACTTAAATATTTCTTACTACTTACTTACCACTGCCTTAAAACAATTAACTTGGAAATGGTATGATGGCTTAATGAGTAAGACGGCTTAGTCAGTAAAGGCATTTGCACCAAGTTTGGCAAATCTGAGACCTAGAATCCACACCTTAGGAGAAGTGGCTTCTGAAAATTGTCCTCTGACCTTCCACATGGATGCCATGGTACACACATACAAAAACAAATATTGAAAAAAAAATTCTAATTAACTTGATCCCAGTTTGTCACAGATGTGCTACTATTTATTATTGTCATTATCATTATTATTATTTGTATGCATGTACCTACTTATTTGTATGTGCACCATATCCACGTAGGTGCCTGTGGGTGCCAGAAGAGGGTGTCTGAGCCTCTGGAATGGAAGTTCTAGGCAGCTGTGACTAGCTTGGTATGGGTTGTGGGACCTAAACGCAGGTCCTCTACAAAAACAGCATATGCTCTTAACCATCTCTCCCTGCCACAGATATAAAAATCAGTGCATTTTCAAATCCTTTTCTGAAAGCCTGCTACTAAGACAAGACATGCATGTTTAAACGCAATGCTGCACATAAGTATTTCTATATAGTCTGAAAAAAAAAAAAAAAAGTAAATCAAGCTTCTTCAAATGTTAGTAACAGGTGTCTCTTTAGATGCTGTATTTAATATAAGATGGTCTATGCAGAGGAGCAAGAATGTGCAAGTTGCATTTTGTACATGACTTCAATACAACATGGTAAAAACAAAGAAACATCACATTGAACCCTAGTCCCTTTCATTTATTTGCCAGTTACTTGCACTTTTCTTGATACCCTCCACCCCCACCCACCCTGGTGCTGGGATTTGAATGCATGCTAAGCAAGAACTCTGCCTCTGAGCTGTATCCTTAGTATGCAATTTGATTTTCTGAGTCTTGATTTTTCTAAGAATAAAACTAAATTAAGCTGGACATGGTGGCTACTACCTATAATCCCAGAATTCAGGAGGGTAAGGAAGTAGAATTACCTTAAGTTTGAGGCCAACCTGGGCTACATAGTGAGTTCTAGCATAGCCTGGGCTACATGAAACTCTGTCTCAAAAAAAAAATTAAATAAATATAAATTATTTTCAACACTTTTTTTATTCATAAATAAATAATTTTTTTTATGTGTGTGGGTGAGTGTGTGTGTGTGTGTGTGTGTGTGTGTGTGTGTGTGTGTGTATGTGTGTCTCACATAAGTGAGAGTCTCTGGAGAGAACACAAGAGGGCGTCAGAGCTCCTGGAACTAGTTACAAGTGGCTGTGAGCTGCCAGACATGGACACTAGAAACCCAATACATATCCTCCAGGAAATTAGTAAGCGCTCTCAAATGCTAAACCACCTAACCAGCCCACATACAATTATTTTTAAGAGTTCTTTTTTATTTTTACTTATATTTATGAATCTACTTCATGGATGTGTACACATGAGCTCCACAACACTCAAGCAGAGGATGGAGAACAGCTTGAGGAAATTGGTTCTCTTTTTCCACCTTGACCTGGGCTGTGGGATTGAACTTGAGGCATCAGACTTGGCAGCTAGCACCTTTACTCTCAGAGGCATCTTGCCAGTGCTTGATCCTTCCAGCTCCCAAATACTCAAAGAAATATTCTGCAGACACCAGCACTAAACAGGTTCTTAGGAAGTAGGACACCATTTTAACATGCTATTCCACCATTTGTCTGCAGAGACACATAAAACACATCCTAAAAACAAAGACACTAAAACTAATGCCCATAATAAATAACTACTGATTTGAAAAGCATCCTAATTGCCTTCTTGTGGCTTCATTTCAATTTGTATTTACTGAACGCAAACTGAACACAAACTTGGCAAAAAGCATGGTGAAAGCTGGGCTTTGGGGTACGCGTCTGCAATCCCAGTCCTCAGAGGCCTGAAGGATCGATGTAAGATCCAGGCCAACCTGGATTGAGTTTGCGTCTACCCTGTTTTAAACAAACAAATGAACAACAAACAAAAAGCATACTGAAAGGGTATTAAAAAAAATGTGTGAGGGGTTGGAGAGATGACGGTTGGGAAACAGGGTTAAGGAGATGGCTGTCGGTAAAGGGCCACGTAAGCAGAAGGACCTGAGTTTGGATCCTAAGCACCCACAAAAAAAAAAAAAAAAAAAAAAAAGCCAGGCAGGACACGGTGCCTATAATCCCAGCACTCAGGAAGTGGAGATGGTAGGCTCCTTGGCCAGCTAGTACAGAGGAATAAATAAATAAGCTCCAGATCTCAAAACACAGGTGGCGCGCGCACACGCAAGCACACACACACACACACACACACACACAATGTATGGAACAAACAATACCTTGGGAAACAGAGAAAAATAAATGCAACAGGAGCTCCATCACCAGTTGGTAGGTAAAAACCAGAAGGGCCTAAGAACTGCATCCATCGGTAAACCCCAGGGAGGCAGAGAGGAATTTTTAAAGTGAATTTATGAATGTTTGTGTGGAGGACAAAGGACAGCTTGCAGTGGCTGGTGCCCTCCTTCTACCATATGGGTCACAGGGACCAAACTCAGAGGGGCATCAGACTTGGCTGCAAGAGCCTTGCTCAACTGAGCCATCTAGATGGCTCTTGGAAACCAATTGTTGACCCACACCAGACAAACCAGATGATGGAGAGTTTCTGTGCCCACCTAATAACTAGAGTGATACTATCTGAGGTTTCATTCATAATTCCAAATTTCCACTATTTTAATGTTCAACCCTACTAATTTCATTAACGGAGGAACATGTTGGAACATTCATTATTTGTTGAATTTTCTTGAATGTTATAAAACTATAACATAGATTAAATGAGGAAAATTCCTGATGCAATTTTTAAAGACAAAATAAAATACTCAACTGTTACTCAAATCTAGTTACTTATCAAAACTAGCCAGGGAGAAACCTTAAGCAATTTAAACAGCCAGAGGCTATCTGGTCCAAATGCCTAATGTAATCCTTTCACTTCTTGACAATTCTTTGTTTGTTTTGGCTTTTTTGAGACAGGGTTTCTCTGTGTAGCCTTGGCTGTCCTGGACTCAGAATGATATGCATGCCTCTGCCTCCCTGAGTGCTGGAATTAAAGGAGTGTGCCACCACACCTGACTTGACAATTCTTTAGGACAAGCATTTCAACATTTTAAACTTTCCTATAGGGCAAATTCCACAATTAACCATAATTCACTATAACGAATATTTTTATTTAAGCTATGTGTCCTCCTGCCTCAGGCTCCCCTAATAGCTGGTATTGTGAGTCCCCAACATCCTGTCTTTTGTCAAAATCAGGGTGTTTTATTTTTGAAGCGGGGGGGGGGGGAGGGAGTTAGTATTTATATTATTTATCCACAGACTTAACAAAGCTTTAAATAAAACAAAACTTAGATAATAGCACTCAGCATTCAATTTGTGTAAAAGGTACATTAACAAGTGTAAAAGGTATAAATAATCAGAACAAGGGTTTCTGTTCATTTTCGTTCTCTCCTCCTCCACCCCTTTCTGGTGTTGCAAAATAATTGTCATGTAAGACCGCTGTCTGCATCAACCACAATAACCACATCAGCCCACCGAGGTAACATTCAGCAGGTGCAACAAGAAAGTAGTAACATCTTTCCCTTTCCCCTAAATCGAAAGGGCTCGTCTTTCGCCTAATTTGTCACTTTGGAGCAAACGATACTACAGCTGGCACGAACTTTCTCCTTAGTGGCAGATGCTGGCTTCACGTACTCCGAGGAAGAGCTGTGCCCTGGGCCTAGCTTTGCTCCACAGCGCTGGGGGCGCGGAGCATCAGCCCGGAATTGATGAGTCCAGAGTCCTCACCAGTGGGCATGCCCCTCGCCCACGGACCCCGCCCCAGTCTGGGTCCCGCACCTACCCCCTGCTCGTGCCACCGACCCCGAAGAAAAGCTCAGGTGCCCTGCAGCAAGAGGAGTGATGGAGTGGACCCGGCGCCCCCCGGCTTCAGCTATGAGACCCTCTTCAGCCTTGCCCGCACACAACTCGGCCCTCCACCACAGGGCAGGGCAAGCTCGGACCTGAGCCCTCTCTCCCGGGACCTGACCAGCCCCCCCGAGCTTGGGATCTGCACCCAGCTCCGCGCCACTGACCTTCTTTGCAGGGTCTCCGCCGGCGAGGCTAAGCTCACTGATGCCCGCCGCGCGCACACCAGTTTCTCCCTGCCCACGGCCCTCCGCCGTGCTCTATTCCACAGCCTACTGCTTGCCCGCCTCCTGGTTGCCATGGTGACTGCCTCCGCCCCGACAGGCGCTAATTGGTCCGGCTCTGGATCGCGGAGGACGCCTATTGGTGAGTTGGTTCAGGGAAACGCGTACGCGAAGGCGCTTTGGGATAGACCTTAGCCAAGAGGGACGTGGCGCTCTCCGACCCGGGAGAGGAGGCCGCGCCCCTTCCTTCTCTCGCAGTCATGGACTAGTTTGTGGAGCAGGATTTAGGCCGGTGAGGAGCTGCCCGGGAATTCCCCACAAAATCTTAGGGATATACATGCTCTTAGTCTCTGGCCTGCGCCTGTAGCGCCCACAGTGGTGGAGAAAAATGTGGCAAGCCTCTTGCGGGTACAGTTTTTAACCGTACTCCACCCTCGTTATCCTGGCCCTGCGTCCCTATGACTTATTGCATCAACCTCACTTTTATCTCATGCACATCTTCAAATACGGCTTTCTCTACTCTCTGCCCCATGGAACGGAGACATCTTCAAGTCATTTTAACCATGGGGCTCATAGATGTTAGCACTTGGAGGGTTAGAAAAGCTTTTAGAGCCTTAGGGTTGTTTCTGAAGCTTGGGTGCCAGTTACACCGTACTGATCTTTAGGTTTTTTTCACCTAAAAAAAAAAAAAAAAGGGTCCTAGGATGTGTATTACTGGATTACTGGTCTCCTCGCTGCAAAGAAAAAAAAGAAAAAAAACTAAGAAAAGCAATTAAGGAATGGAGTTTCAGCTCACAGTTTAAGGCAGCTGGTCACACGGCATCACAGTCAGGAAGCAGAATATTGAAGAATACTGATGCTTAGAGTCTCTCTCGGTCTCTCTCTTCCTCTCCCTCTCCCTTTTCCTCTGCAATGGAAGCCGCTGTAGCAAGTTGCAACATGGGTTAATGGCTGTGTGCACCGTTAGGGACCAGACTTCCTCTCTTGCAATATTCAACTTGTACCTAACCCATCAGTTGGGGCATTTGCCAAAGCACTATGCTTCCATTTCCTTATGTGTAAAATGGGAACAGTAATACCGGTACCGCCGACACCTACAACATAGCCAATCATTAGAAATGGTGACCGCACATTGTAGTAACTCAGCCATTCTTGGGTTGGTGACTAAACCAATACTATACTCAGCCTCCGGATTTTAACTCTTATCCACACCTCTTGTCCACTTACTTAGACTAATATCCCAAGTTTAAGCTCCTTTTGTGTTTTAGGAGGATCCTTGTCCATTTTTTTGTTGTTGTTGTTGTTTTATTTTGTGGCTCTGCCTCCACTGAAGGGTTAATAGCAGAGATAAATTTAAGGAAATGAATGGGTTGAACATAGTAACACTTGACACTTAGGGAAGATAAAAGATTATGGTGTGGGGACACTAAATTTCAAATTGAAAAATACAAGAAATACTACCCACATCATAGGTGTCATTAGTAACCATGTAAGATTTGAGTCGGTATTCTACCCCAACACTGTGGGAATGGTGGTCCATGCCTTCAATAATAGCATGTGGTAGATGGCAGCAAGAGGATCAGGAATTTGAGGCTTCCCTAAGCTATATAAAAGCCTGTCTTATAAAATGAAAACAAGCAAAATAGTAGTCCATGAACACATTGAAGGCAGGAACTGCCTTGAATGCTTTTATTACCTATTTTCTAGCACAAGGGCAAATACTATCTGAATTAGGCACAAAGATTGGGTGTGGCTTTTCTAAGGGCAGACCTCAGAAACCCCAGTGGTGACCGGTCTGAATGATTCATAGAAATCCAGTGGAGATCAGTAAAACCTGTCAAGTGAGAAGATGAGATTCATCCAATGATGTGATAAAAGGAAGAAGATAATGAACAGGAGTATGGTGACTGAGATGACCGCACATTTCTGGGCTGAAGGGCAAGGAAAAGACAAGAAAAACAGGATGAGCAATGAGTGAAGAGCAAGTTCCTGGATTAGGAGACAGCTGAACAAAATACTTTCAAAGGCCATGAGGATAAAAGCCTGGAGTGGTGGCTCCTGTCTTTCATCCAGGCACTTGAGAGACTGAGGCAGAAGAATCAACGTTAAGTTTGAGACCAACCTGGGAAACAGTGTGAGACCCTGTCTCAAACTCTTACACAATGCTAAATAAAATCAAAGAACAGTTCTTACTGTTAAAGTTGATTTTAAAAAAATAGCAGCAAGAGTGAGGGATGTAGTTCAGTGGTAGAGAATGTCTCTAATATACTCAAGACCCTGGTTCAATCTTCAACACAGGAAGGATGGAAGGAAAGAAGGAAGGAGTAGATAGAGTAGATAGAGAATCCTGAATACATCCCATTATCTGAGCAATTTAAGAAGAAATCTTATTTCTTAAATCAAGACACCTTAGAAGTTAACCTGAATTCTATCTCCAGGATCTACATGGTGAGAGAACTGACTTCCCATAAGTTGTCCTATGACCTCCACATGTTCACTGTGGCAAGGGCTGCTCCCCACCCCATTCCAAGACACACACAATGTAGTTTTAAGACGAGAAAGAAATATTTTTTAATAAGTAAAACCTAAACCTTAGATTTTAGCTAGGATGGAGAATTTCCTGATAGGGAGAAGGATGGGAGAACAGCCGGAACACTGCACAGTCAGAATCCATCCCCAGCCCTGCCTCAAATGCTTGACGTCTGTGCCTGGCCTTGAGTTTGCTGTCTGACTCTAGGCCTGGTGTGTACTGTGGCAGAGTCACCAGTTTATCAGCTAACCAATAAGTCAGCCTCGAAATGGAGAGGTAGCATGAGCAGGAAGCCAATGGATTTGGGCTAAAGGGTGAGGAAGGACTCAGTTTTCTTTAAATGGCTGGCTGCTGGAAGTTTGACCATGCCCTAGTGAGTATATGGTCAATACAAATTGGACATTTTTGTTGTTGTCGTTTGGTTGGTTTGGATTTGGTTTTCTCTCTTCTTTTTTTTGAGGGTGGAGATCACAAGAATGGGGGCAAACTTGGGAGGACTAGGAAGTGTGTGTGATTATTTCCCAAATAATCAATGATGAATAAAAAATATTATATGGAAACAGACAAACAAACAAACAAAAAAAAAACCCTCCAGGTTGCTTGCTTCCTGACTTGGCCAGTCCACCCATTGTCTTTGGAAAGTGCCCCTACTTAAAATTATTAACTAGACCTTGCTCCATCAGCACGCTTCTTTCAGTAGTGGTTCGTACAGCAGAGATGGTGAAGAGAAAATTAAAGGGTGCCTGGCATGCCATGCTACAGGGATGTGTTAAAAGGAATTTCTGCACCTGTAACCTGACTGGGGTCATATTAGGTGCTGGAAAAGGTACTGGATAGATTTTTATCCTCTCTCTACTCACACACCCGTCTGCCTGTTACCTAGGAAACCCTGGCTGATTATTGCCTTCCTGGGATATCGCTCAACTTGATCTAGGCAATTTGATTCTTTGATTTCCAAGGAAACCTCAGCTCAGCTAAGAGACTCAAAATGAATTTGTTGGAGGGCAGGTGAGAAGAAAATGAGTCCTGCCCCACAGTGTAGTTCTTGGTAACTCATGAGAAAGAGTGGGGATCAGAAGGTGTGGTTGGTTGATTTGTGTTCATTTTGTGTGTGTGTGTGTGTGTGTGTGTGTGTGTGTGTGTGTGGTTGTAATGTATATATTCTGGTATTTTTTGTTTCAGCTTTCTCTTTAGCCCTCAATGCCCTGGAATTCCATATGTAGACCAAACTGGTCTTGAACTAGTGGCAAACCTCCTGCCTCTGTCTCCTGACTGCTGAGATTACAGACGTGTGCCACCATATCCCATCTATTCTGGCTTTTTTTTTTTCCCCTTCTGTGTAACAGTCTTGGCTGTCCTGGAACTCACTTTGTAGACCAGGTTGGCCTTAAACTCAGAGATCCATCTGGCTTTGCCTCTCCAGTGCTGGAATTAAAGGTGTGCACCACCACACCTAGCCTATTCTGGATTTTTAATGCCACAATATGGCCCTCTGTATTCTTCCAGGAACCAACATGACATCAACTGATAAGTATTTTTTTTTAAGGCAAGCTCTTTGTGCTCAGAAGATGGATAAAGATGGTAGAGACTCCAGACACATAAAGTTCTCAGAAACAAAAAAAAAAAAAAACCTCAACAGCAAATTCTATGGAAGCCAAGACTTAGACTTAGACATCGTACTAAGGTCAAGTTCACAGATCAGCATCCTGTGGCTGTAAGACTAAATCACCCTACTGCCTGCTTGTGTAGGTTTTTTTGTGATCATGCAGCCATACTCAACAGCTACAGGCATTGTATGCACAGTATCTTTACGGGGTGTCTTGACTGCCGTGGTATTGCAATAGCAGATCTGAGTAGATATTAAAAACCTTTTCAGCTCTCAAATTATGAGGCAGGTGCAGCAACATACACATACCTGTAATCCCAGCTATTCAGGAGGCTGAGAGAGGAGCATTACAAGTTTGAGACCCGCCTGGTCTTAAGCAAGATGATCTCCAAATAAAATATAACAGTACTGGGGCTATATCTCAGTGGGAGAGTGATTTCCTAAAATGCTCAGCACTCAGGGTCATAAAACAAGAAAATTATTACTACCTGGCCCTTTACAGAAAACAAATGAGTATATCAAGGTCTAGATGATTCATGCGGAATCCTATTTTCAGTATCCGTAGTGCAAAAAATGCCTCATCTTCATCAAGTCCTCTAATATATTGCTTCTCAGTCTTTCGAGTATAATATAAACCACTTCATGTATTTAAATGTATTATATTATTGTTGTTGTTGTTGTGATTGTGCGCGTGTGTGCAATTTTAATGATTTTAGGGATTGAACTCAGTGGAGCAATCACCTTCATTCACAGAGCCATCTCACTGGCCCTAAAGATCTTGATAAAACACAACTTTTGATTAATTAAGTCTATGAGGAAGCAGGAGATCCTGTTTCTGGCTAAGTTAGTTTCTGGAAAAAAAACAACTTGATCCTTTTATATTGTTGTTTATTTATTTATTCCTATGTATGTATT